ACTTGAAGCACTGAAGGAAGCCGCCACAGAACTCAGGAAAGCCAGCGCAGAGAGGAACGAGATCGCAGAGTCGATCAGGAAGAACACAGAAGAGTCGGCGCGATTGCGTCGATCCCAGGAACACGTGGCTGGTTGCGTGAAGTCCTTGACAGGACAAATCCAGGACGTCAAGTTTCAGGTCCAGGAAATGGCCGAGCAGAACGAAAGAGACCGCGCAGAGGCCAAGGAACGGCCTACGTCTTTGAGACGTGCGACGGCTTGAAAGACCAGGTACAGACGCTTGTGAACGACTTCTACGAGCAGGAAGAAGAGGACGAAGAAGAACAAAAGGAAAGAGAAGCCAAGGACAGAGAAGCAGAAGGAGAACTACGTCGTGAAGGACATGGACCAGGTACAGCACCGTCGAGAGCTACGTCACCTACCTCCCAGGAACACAAAGGAGAAGACGACATAAGGAAATGGTCAGACAGAGGTTACTTTGAAAGACTCCAGGAACGCGACGAGGACCACGACTACTGACTACTTCGGCGAGAACGAGAACGAGGCCTACGTGGACAGCTACGTTGGAGGAGATCCCGGGGAGTACCCCGAAGGAGCAAAGGAAGCAGAAGCACCAGAAGCAGCAGCAGCAGAAGAGGAAGACGAAGAAGCAAAGGAAGAAGCAAGGAGACAAAAGATCAAGGAGATCAACGCCAAGAGCAAGGAAAGGCTTGAGGAGAAAGAGAAGGAAAAGAAGCTCTTTCCGTACCCCTACGACTACAGCAACGAGTGGAAGGAATACTCCGAGAACGGCGAGATCTACCGAGAGCACAGAGTTACAGGAGAAAAGCAGTGGGTCGACAAGGACTACACGTACAAGCACGAGAAAGGAACAAAAGGAAAGGAGAAAGGCGCAAAAGCAGGCAAAGGAAGAGGAAAGCCAAAGCAGCGAGCAGAAAGCACAGGATTTCGACCTCGAGATGAAGATGATCGCAAGTACTGGGCAGAACAGGACAGGATTTCAAAGGAACAGCAAGAGGCAAAAGCGGCAGCAGAAGAGAAGAAGAAGGCAACAGAGGAGCAGATTGCCAAGGCAAGGCTGATCATGGAAGCGGCAGCAGAAGAGCAGGAGAGAAGAGACAAGGAAGCAGCAAGGAAGGAAGCAGCCGCAGCCGCCGAGAGAAGGCGAGAAGTGGAAGCAGCAGCCAAGGCCAAAGCAGAAAGAGAGGAAAGAGAAAAGGAGGAGACAGCCGCAGCAGCAGCCAAAGCAGAGAAGGAGAAAGAAGAGGAAGCAGCCGCAGCAGCCAGAGAGGAGAAGGAAAGAAAGGAACAGGAGAAGAAGAGAAAGGAGAAGGAAGCAAGGAAGAAAAGAGAGGAAGACAAGAAGGAAGCATTGGCATACATTGCCCGAAAGGAAGCAGAAGAGAAGGCAGCAGCAGAAGGAACAACGTCAGGATCAGGAGAAGTGGAACCGAGACGTGAAGAAGACAGGATGAAGAAGCTGGAACAGATGATGGAGGAGATAATGAAGGAACGCAAGGAAGACAAGGAAAGGATTGCAAGCCTCACACAGAAGCTTGAGAGCAGAGGATCAGCAGCCGGGTCGCAGGCACCCACAGAGCCAGACACAACACCAACCAAGGCGCAGGAAAAGCCGGAAGGAAAAGGAGAAGGAAAAGGAAAAGGAAAGAAAGAAGGACAGGAGCCACCAAGCGTGACAAAGCACAAGCCAGGAAAGCAGGAACAGGAAGACGAGGAACTTTCCGCCAAAGGACCAGTGAACGAGGCGTCTTACTTGAAAGGAAAAGGAAAAGGAGAGTTTGAAGGAAACTGGTTTGCAGTCTACAGTTTCCAAGGAAGGGGCTACCAGTGGAAGTGGAACGAAGCCAGAGGACAATGGTACTGGTGTTCAGGATCAAAGGAAACAGGTTGGAAAGCAGGATCAAAGGACAAGCAAGGAAAAGAGAAGTGCAAGGTACAGGCAAAGCAGCGTGAGGAGTGGCTCAAGGAACAGCTAGAGGAGCAGAAGGAAGTCACCCAGGACAGCGAAGAAGAAGGAGGAAGCAAAGAAGTGAACTTCCAGTGAAGCAAAGGAACAGCGAACAGTACTGAGGCCAGAGAGCCGAGGAAAGAGCAGTGAAGCAGGACACAGGAACCGTGGCACAGCCCTTTTTGTTTCTGTGGTGATCTAAGTAAGTTCAGGAACAGTCTTGTACAGTCAAGCAACCTTGGAGAGGATTGCGAGTGAACGGAAACGTTTGCGAAGAGGAACAGCGTTTGTTTTGTAGTGAAAAGGAACTGCAGCGTGTTTACTGTTTGTTCAGGAAAGTCGGAGTCACCTCAGTCGAGGAACTTTCGCTAGCTCCGAAGGCGGGGTGTTAAACATCTTGCCAGGAACAGTAACACCGCTAGTGCAGTGTAGTTAATGTAAAGGAACAGCCGTCACGCACACGCGACGTGCAGGCTCGAGACTACCAGGACACACTCCGCAGTCCAGGAAAAGTGTCCGCCTTTGTGAGAGAGTAGGAAAGCTTAGTGAAGCCCGTTCTTTAACACCTTTCCGTCGCAAGTGTGCTGATCCTGTGAAGGCGTATGCGGCCTATCAGCGGCACTTTTCTGCTTCGCATCCGGGGGAGAAGCTTGGACTAGCTCCTGCCTGCAAGGCGGGGCTGCTTGGTGCTTTTCTTCGGCAGGGCCCCCCGCAGATCATTGCTTTATCCGAGGTCAATGTGCCTGAAACGGCCGGCATCGGCTATCGCAACCAGTGGAAAACGCATGGCAGGCATGTTGCCCTGAGTGCTCCTGAGGATCTCGGCAGCCGCGTTGCCTTGGTCAGCGATTTTCCTTTTCGGCACGTTCAGTTATGCAAGGGTCCTGCTTCCACCCGGCATGTGGCGGGGCTCTTTAATTTGCGATCTCTCCCTGAGGATGTTTCTTCGCTTCCTGTGAGCTCCCGAAGTGTCGCTGATGAAACCATCCTGGTTGTGGCCTTTTACGGTCAGGCTGGCAATGAGCCAGTTGCCCAGACACAAGTGGATGAAGTTTTGGCGGGTGCGGTGACCTCGGGTTATAGGTTTGTGGTTTTAGGCGACTACAACCTCGAGCCTTCCCAGGGCCGCTTTGGGTCGCTAATTGCGCAAGGCATCGTGCTTGCTGGTGATGAATGTGCACGTGGCCGGCCTCTTCCTGCCACGGGCCCGGTCAATGCCCAAGGAGTGCGCTCTCGTCGCATCGATTTTGCTGTTAATCATCGTGACCTGCCTGCGGTTTCTGTGGATCACTTTACGTGTGCCTTTTCGGACCACTTGGGCGTACACTACTCGTATGCCCTTGATGCTCCTCGTCCCTTGGTTGGGCCCAAGAGATGCAAGCCTCGTGACGATCTCCAGCCCTCCGACTTGGAGACCAGATGTGCTCAAATCGATGCAGGACCTTTTGCGTGCGCCTTGGAACAGAATGATTTGGACGGGGCTTGGCGCTTCTTGTCGGACACTGCCGAGGCCTTGCTGTGTGAGCCGTGCTCTGCAGAGTGCGTCCCTCGTGCGTCCCCCTGGGAGCCTGTCACCTACAGGGCCGCGGGACGGTCGGGCAAGCAGCCTGTGAAGTCGGAAAGCCTGCGCCTCTTACTGCGGCTCCGCGCAAGGCTTCAGGTTCTTTCCCATCGGTCGAACGATGCTTTGCTGGTGGCGCGAATCAGGCGCGGCCCACGCGCTTGAAGGTGCCAAGCCTGCCTTATGCCCGTGATGGAAATGAGTTGAATGTTTTCAAGAATGCTCTCGGGAACACCCACAGACAACCTGGGCCATAGTTAGCACAATAGTTTTGGCAATAGTTGTAATTGTTGCAATTGTTTTGGCAATTGTTTTGGCAATTGTTTTAATTGTTGCAATTGTTTTGGCAATTGTTTTGGCAATTGTTTTAATTGTTGCAATTGTTTTGGCAATTGTTTCGGCAATTGTTTTGAAAGTTTGCGATATTTTCAACAATTGTTTAGGAAATGCTTCGAACATGGAAACATTTTAGAAATAATATTTTAACATTTGTTTGGAATAGTTGCAAAGCTGTTTCAATTACTACAGAAAACACCTTGTTCTCTTGACTTGTTTTTTCCTGTTGACAAACACTGACAAACACCACATGGCACAACATCACACTGCATGCATACTTGCCATGGTCCAACACTGTTCCAGCACGTTGGGCTCAAACAGCCCAGTTCGTCTGAGCTACCACGGCTACCACCCACCAACACAAGCACGCACACAGCCACACCTTCACACAAAGTCCTTAGGACACGTAGCACTGTTTAGGGTTACTACCCACCAACACAAGCACGCACACACCTTCACACAAGGTCCTTAGGACACGTAGCACCACTTAGAACACGTAGCAGCAAGGTCCTCATGACACTCCTTAAGACACGTAGCACCAAGGTCCTGAGGACACGTAGGCATCAAAGCATGCTGGGCGTTGCAGATCTTGCCGCCATTGTGGAACAGCATGCCGCCCCGAATCAAGAAGTAGACGGTGATTCACCGGGTGAGGGTGCTGGCGGTGATGGTGTTCGGCAAGGACGCAACCGGGGGCGGGCCGGTGGGCGGGCCGGTCATGCACGTGCGGTGAATTTAGCGCGAAGTCGCTCAAGCCGTAGGGGGCTGGGGGTGCAGAAAGACCGGGAGGCTAAAAATAAGCTTCAGGTCGTGGCTGCCAACTCTTCTGGCCGCAATCGCACCAGGGATCACTTGTTTCCCATGCATTCAGCAGACAAACGTGCAAAAGTTTCTGGTCGTGCGGGTTGGAAGGTTTGGACGCCAGAGGCGCTGTTGAGGGCTGCTTTTGCAAGTCCGTCTGCGGCGTTACGCCAGGTTGCACAGGAGATTGACGGTGCGAGTGGCAGCCACGTGCTGAATGCACGGATGTTGGTTGCCGACATCATCTTGCAAAAGCAAGCCGAAGGTTTGCAATACCAGAAAACAGCAGCAGTGCGTTCGGCCCTTCTCGCATCAGCCCCCAAGTTCTGGATAATGAACCTTATGTTTGACGAAACAGAGTTAGAGTTGACGCTGGATGGCGAAGGGCCTGGGGCCTGGTCAATTCTAGCATCGCACTCGCAGCTGAGCATTGGCAATGGTGATTCTGATTCTGTTCAGGAGTTCGATTTTGTGCGACTCCCACAAGCCTTGCCCAGGAAGACGGCGTCTTGCATGTACGAGGCTCTTTGCCAGGGTGAGGGCAGTCTCGCAGCAAACAGCATGTCATTGCAGGCTGATTATTGCTGTATCATCATCACTTGTGATCAAGCATCTGCCAACATCAGGCTTTTAAAGCACGTGCATGCCGTGCTGCCTGAAAAAGTGTATTTGCTGCCAATGCTGTGTGCACAACACCGAAATGGAAATGTGATAGAACGTTTGACAAAATTACTCGGCATTTTGCCAGGTTGCTATTGCTTGTCCAAGTGCAGCCAGAAAGGCAAACTCTTCAAGGATTGGAAGCAGGCAATCAGAACCCAGTTGCAGGATGATTTGAAAATCCTGCCCGCAGAGCCCCCAGGCGTGCAGGCAGAGTGGGCAGCAGCAAGAAAACAAGCCCAATTGTTCTTGGAACTGGTGCTGGAAGGTCTTGCCGACAACATTGACGACAGTTCTGGTCTTCGTCCGGGTACTTCGGCCGACATCAAGAAGTTCACAGACTTCTTCCGAGGCCCTTGGACAGGACCGACACCTGCATTCAGATTCAGCGTTCAGTGACGTTCAGAATTGGGCATTGTGTGGGTGTCAGTTGTTTGTTGCGCGTGTCACTGCATGTTGCATGTCTTTTCTTGCAAGTGTCAGCGATCGCCAAGTCAGCAGTGGTTTGCTATCACCGCAGTGTGGGCCTGGTGCCTATCAAGCTCGTGGACTAGTGACCTGTGGTCCACTTGTGACTCGCTTGTGGTAGTGAATCCGAAGACCGTGAAGAGCCATGTCGTCTACCCACACAATCATGAACATGCAGGATGTTTTGTTGCACGGCTTTGTGAATCGCGAAGGCCTTTCAGCTTGTTTCGAGCCAGCAGATGCTCGGAGACAGGCATTGTCAGGCCTTTGGCCAGGTAAAGACATGAAGCCTCAGGATGTGTATGGAGCTGTGGAGAAGCTGCAATCAGTGCTGTGCTGCGACACCTATGGTGGGGTTGACGCTGTCCGGTATGCCCGGGATGCGTACAACAAGCGGCACCTTTCCTGAGTTACGGACTTACGTGTTTGATGGGATCGGATGGTTAGATAGTTACTCTACTTAGTTAGTGAGATGATTCAATGATTTCAGCGTTGAAGAACCAAGCGTAGAACTATGTGCAGGCATCCGATGCACCTCATCCTCGACCTCCAGAACGGCAAAGGCGGGAAGTTGTGGCTTGGAGGCCACTTCGCGGATGTTGCATGCCTGACGCAGAACCATGTCGCGGTGGTGTTTCCAGCAAACAGAACTGCCACGAATCATTTGCAAGACCAAGCAGCAGTGAGAATCCTCCCGTTTGTGGACGGGACTGGCGTTGTCCATAAAGACGTGGCTTTGAGCCAGGTTATTGACCGCCTTCACTCAGTGATCGAGCTGCTTTTGAAGGGCTTCTCCGTGGTGATTTTATGTCACAACGGAGCGCACAGGTCTGCGACCTTGACACTTGGCCGAGGTGATGAATGGTGTAGTGGTTCATAATGGGGGTTTTGCGGCTTTCTGGATTCATGGCTTTATCATCGCTTCGCAATAAGACTTCTGGGTCAGTTCAGTTTAGGACAGACGAGTGCAGCGTGTGTTTAGTAGGCAGTGCAGGTGTAGGTATGTTATGGTATGGTTAGAGACACAGAGCTGTGGCATTTGAGCCAAGGACCGTGTTGCTCTTGATGATCATCTGTGGCATTCCCTTCGATACGGCCAGTCACCATGTGACACAGCTTCGGAACATCGTGGACCTTCAAAGCCGAGCACCGTGCAGAGGCGGACGTATCAACACAATACGCCCGATGGACTTTCTGGCGGAGGTCTCTGACCAGGTTGCTGTCACGGGCGCCATGGTCGGCAACGGCAGAGGCGTGGCATCAAGCAACATGCTGAACGTTTCTTCGCTTCAATTTTAGACTTTTAGGTTGGGCTTGAGTGTTCACTATAATGATATAATGTATCAATGTTGCGTGTTCAGTGAGTCTGTGCCCTGTGCTCCACCGAGGATCTCATGACACCTTTGACGTTGAGGAAAATGGCTTTGGAGCTGGGTTTCGAGACTCGCAACCACATCCGGCCGAGCCTCCCGTCTCTGCCAGTTTCGATGGTCAGGGCCACAGGCCAGGTTAAAGAAGTCCGAGATCTGTTGGAAGCCCGCTCACAGCAGATTGAGGCCACCAGGCCAAAAGCCAGAGCTCCCGCCGCCATCAAAACGAAGGCCATGCCGGCAGGTGGGCGGGTTAAGGCATGGAGGTTCAGCGATTCGGGTGAGACGGGGACGGAATTTGGCTTCACCACTGACGACTCCTACGATATTGTGAGCATGGTTGGCGGCAAAGGCCTCACAGACTTTGAGTCCGATGCTCCCAAGCGTGCAACACTCCCAGGAGCTGCTTCGGCCAGTGGCGTTGCGCCAGGTTCCCGACCCCAGTCTTCGGCATCTGATGGCACTGAAGATCCGGACGCCGGTGCTCTGCCAGCCTCTTTGCCAGTGTCGTCCGAGGCAGAGGACGACGCGTATTACATGGTGGACAAAAGCCAACAGTCTGCGAGTACGAAGATGTGGCAGGATCGCAACCCGGAAAGCCCAGTTGCCTCGCCAAGGTGGACCTCCGAAGACTTCGTTCGGCTGCAAGGGGTAGTGAAAGACCTTGGAGACTTGAATCGTCAGCTCATGGCTTTCACCGCCAGCCCGGACGAGCTTGACGAGGAAGTCGAAGTTGAGGTCGAGGTTGAGGACGAGCCGGTGGAGGAGCAGAATGTGAAGATCGAGGAGGAGGCGGCTGACTATGGTGGCGATACGGATATGGAGCAGCAAGAGTCAGACCAAGCCGGCAAAGGAGAAGCTGAGGCTATGGAGGAAGAGCACCCACCTACAAGCTGCCCGTCATGATGTTTTTTTTTGAGTTTTTAAAAACTGACCTTAATTTCCTAGTACTTAGTACTAAGTGGGGGTTATGCGACTTGCTTGGTTGGCCCTTTTGCCATTTGCTTTTTGCTTCTTTTCCTACACAGCAATCTGAGGCCCGGTGCCTTCTGAAGGCGAGGAACAGACCAAGCCCGAGCCAGCTGCGGATGATAAGTCCATGGCAGCGGCCTCTGGCCAGGTGTTCGTCGACCCCAACATGACAGCCGCCGCTGCCGTCGAAAATCTGGTTCAGGCTGTCAACCGACTACAGAAGGCTGGCGAGAAGGACGAGGGCCAGGATCCGGAGTCAGCTGAGACGTTAGCCAGGCTGTTTGAGTTGTTGGAGACACAAAAGGTCCAGCAACAGACGCTACTGACGCGACTCACAAAGGTCACGAACCAGGCTGAGGCAGACCAGCGCAAGAAGGAAGTTTTCGAGGTCATGTACAACCGTGACTTTTCGAGGCTGAGGCACCTCCTGTGCAACGAGCTGCCGGTCTCAGAGCTGGCTACCCTGCGCGATCACCAAGGCATGAGCCTTGCTCATCATTTGGTGCGCACAGGCTTAAAGCCAGGTTTGGAGTGGGTGTTGCCGTTAGACAGCACTTTGGGAGATTTTTTCCTCGCAGTTCTAGTTTTAGTTTGTAGAATGTCGGCAACCTTTTTATGCTTGTGGTTTCCGGTCCTTTTGATACAACCCAGGTCGAAAGCCCCTTCATTGGCGGATGTGGCAACACTTCCATCCGGTATGCCGCCCAATTGGACGCCTCTCATGGTGCTCGTGGACAGTCCTCCTGGACAATTGGGTGGCATTGAATACGCGTACAGCATGCTTTGCACGCTGCTCCAGCACATGAGCGCTACTGGCATTCAGAGCTTTGGCCTGTTTAAAGTTTGAGCTTCTTGCAGTCTTCAATGTTCAGTAGCTTCCTGCTGAGGAAACAGGAAACAAAGGGAGGGTTTGAAAGAGCCTTCAGATTTCGGCTTCTAAATTCTTTGCAGGCTCAAGGTGCCTACGCTGTTATGGTGACCACTGTGCTGTGCTGCAATGCTCCTGGCAATGGCGTGGTCTGATGACATTAGACTAATGTTGCCAAAGCAGAGAACTGTCGTCAGAGTTCAGAAGGCTGAGAAGTGGCTTGGTTGGGCCTTGGGCCGGGTTTGGCAAGACATCTCAGACAGGCGTCAATCCAACCAGGTGTCGTTTCCATTGGAAACACCTGGTTGGAATTGATGCCGGTCTGAGAAGGTTGGGCAAGCACCGGCAGCTATGCCAACATGGCCTTTGGCCCCGTTGCCCACGTCGTCTGCAGAGCCATGACGGTTGACCCTATTCTAAGACTCTTAGAATAGGGTCAACCGTCATGGCTTTGTCTCCACCCGCAAGCTACTCTATGAGCTGTGGTCCATGGTGGCGGCTATTATGCGGAAAACCCTGGCCTCGGGAACCGAAATTTCGATCCTGGAGAACCTATGGACTGAAGCCCAGTGGCCAGCCTGTAGCAAGCCGGCAGGCCATGCTGGATTGCCTCTCCAGCATGGCCTGCCTGGCTTGCTACAGGCTGACTCTGATGTGATGTGTTTCTATGACATGGCCGGCCGCACAGATGGAGAAGAGGCTAGCATTGTCAGTGTCGAATGCCAGGTCATCGCACATTAAGGCAAGGTGGCAGCTGAGATCCGGTCCTGAGGCGTCTGTAGTCAGTTCTCACGATTCACGATGAGCTTCGTAGCGAGTCTCTAAACTTCTGACCTTGTGGCAGTGTACAGTGAAGCGACCAAAATGGCAATGACATGTTGGAAGACATGCCGGTGCCAATGGGGACAGCTTTTTTGGTATTACATGTTTAGAATGTTAGAATTCAGGTTTTCTTCCAGAGTTCCGACAGGCTTTTTTATATCAGGCCAAGAACACACACACACACCTACACACACACACTGTCACACACTTGACACAACGACTTAGGAGTTAGGAGTTCTATGTCTTTCTTGAATAATCACAAGGGAACTAAGAGGCGGCTTATAAGTCAAGTCGGTAGTTTATAGATTTTATTAGACTACTTGTTCAATCCCTGAATGCCAAAATCGTTCCTCCTTGAAAACCTGGAACCTAAAGCTTGGGTAACTAGTCTTTGCACACGCAACTTGACAAAGCTCAGCCGAGGACCCGTGCCGCAAGTGGCAGTACCGCGCTGCACATAGCGGCGTCAAGGGGTCAGCTCAGCTTTATCAAGAAGATTTGCTGGTCTCTCTACCACAAATTGGGCGGATCGTCCGAGTACGGGGGCGAAAGATCGACCGCGGCTTTCCACATGGTCGGGGCTTGCCTGAACTCGCCAGGTGGAAAAAAAGGACAAGGAGTCGTGGACATGGCTCTTGGCAACAACATCGAATGCGCAAGCTACCTCAAAACAACATGGGGTGGACGCGAACTTTTGGAAAACCCGCGCAAGCGGGGACAGGGCTATGTCTGAGCGGCGGTCTTTGGCCTTTGGCCAGGTTGCAGTGCCATCTGGAGCTTATTAGTTACTAGTTATTAGGGCCGGCCTTTGGCCAGATTGCAGCTAAAGTCTTGACTGGAGAAGTTTGAGACGCAGTTTTTCATCGGCTGTGATCGTTGCCTGCCTTAAGCCCTAAGCTCCAGCTGAAGCTGCGGCCTGTGGCCGGGTTGCAGTCTCACTTGCCTGCTGCAGAGTCATAGTCTAGTGGCATATTAGCGGCATGTTGACATTCTGTTGATGATGGTCATCATTGCAAAAAGCATCAAAACTTGATGTGTGATTGCAGGCAAGCTGAGATTAGCAACCCATAATACGAGAGACGAGAGTTGCTTAGCCGCAACGCAAACCTTTTTTGTGGCTAGCCTTTGGCCGGGTCGCGACGCAGAATAGAACCACATCGTTTTATGCATCGCCTGCCTTGGCTTTTGGCATCGTTTCAATTGATTCAGGATACACAGTAAGTTGTTCTGCGTCGTCGGCCTTTGGCCTGTACTTTAGCCCGTTGGCCTTGGGCCTTAGGCCTCGTTGCACCGCCTTGGCTGTGGGGCAACGCAAAAGAACCGCTGCGGCAGGCCACCAGTCCGGTATGATGTGTTGGCTCCTTCGATTTCTTAGATCTAGTATGCAGTATGTACTCCTGATGTTGTGGTAATGGTTGCTACTGTTTTGGTAGATTCTAGCAAGCTCTGATTGTATCAGGCAAAGTCAGGAAATGTGCCGACGTCTGCGTGTTCATATGCACAGATCATTGAGCATGCTCCGCTATGCAATCCCGACAAGCTTGAAGCCAACCTTGGAAAGCCGTGTCCCCAGACTTTGCCGAGAGATAGGTATAGATATTGAATATGGATGATTTAGATGGATGTAGACGATTGGATGATACATAGATGGATAGAAAATGAATGAGTCGTAGATAGGCAGATATATAGATAGATAGTATGAGGCTAGTGTGACATGTTGGATACCCAAGCAGCTCCCAGCCCCTAGCCAGAAGCTTTGCGCACCAGCCCTTATATTGATCCTACCTTACTCTTGCTCCTGCCTTTTCTGCCTTTTCAACTACCAAGCATTTGTTCGCCTCGCAGGACCGCCAGTCCACGTTTGTGCCGGTCCGCCTGATTGCTGCAAGGACCGGGAAGAGGCGGTTGACACAGCAATGCAGCTCTTAGAGCGGGTCATGCTAAAACCCATTGCAGTTCCTGCTCTCAACAAGTGGACCAAAGTAGCTCCCTGCGTGCGTCACGTGTCCTTGCTGCAAAACTTTTGCCAGCTTGCGCCGAAAGCCTTTGAGGCAGCATTCCAGACTGCTGGCATGGTCGCAGACCAGGTTTCTTCAGAGGACGAAGGCGAGCAAGTGGGTGCACCTGTCAACGAGACCAAGGTTTGGAGAAAGCTTGCCAAGCTGCGCCTTTGCAAGGCAGGTTTTTTCTTGCAGGATGAAACGGCTAGATGGTCCACGTGTGTTTGGATGGTACTCAGTGCGCCTGTGATGAGAATTCACTATTCGCTTTTCAAGCATGCGACCTGGCACACCCACAGGAAACAGGACCTGGAGGCACAGGCAGCGGATGCACTTGATGCGTTCACGACTGTTTGTTTTTGCAAAGCAGCCGAAAACCCTGCCAAGAAAGCTTTGGAAAATTTGGGTGTCTTGTTGCTAAACTTGGAAGATGATTCCTGGGGCCCTGCTGTTTTGGCCTTTGGCCCGGTTTTGTCATGGCCACAGACCAGGTTGAGAACCACCAGGCGGAGCTTTTGTGTTGTCATTGGACAGTTGTGGCGCAAGCTGTTGTATCCATGGTCACAATTTCCATGGAAGCTGGCTGTTTTGGTAGACCCAGCAGAAACGGCAGCGAACAAAGAAAGCTGCGCAAAAAAACTGTTTGATGTTCCGCATTGCTGCCTGGATGGTTTCTCCAGAAAACTGAGGGAAAGGACAGCCGATCCTGAGGGGTTAGCCCAAGTTGATGTTTTGAATTTTTTGGAGGAGGTTTTTAACCGGGTGGTGCCAACATCAACCTTTATCGAGCGCATGTTTGCACGCTTGAGTGAATGGAGCACTCCTCGCAAAGGCCCCAAACCAAAGCTATCCAGTGTGTGTGCCAAGCATTGCAACCACCAGTTTGAGCAATGCGTTTCTTTGTGGCGCCTGAACACCCTGAAAGTTAAAGGCAGGAACAAGCACAACAGGCGACCTGCATGGGTGATGCCAGCCAACACAGTTGTCAATGGCTGGAACTTATTTCAGCAAGATTTGATCGCTCGCAATCCAGCTTTGCAGGCTTTGTCGCTAGCAGAGATGGCTGCAGCCACGAAGACGGAGTGGTCTAAGCTGTCCAGAGACCAAAAAAAGCATTGGGGCGCTTTGGCCCGGGCTCAGAACTTGGATTCCGTGGATGACGCGGCTTCAAGCCAAGTTCCCGAGCAGACCGGTGGGCCTTGGAACGCTGCCTCGAGCCACGGCTTTCCTTTGGCTAGGCATCTCATTGCAGACAAGTGCCACGAGGCCACCAAGGTTGGTACTGCATTTCGGAAGGCACACAATGTGCTGCAACCTGAAGGTGCTGACAGCATGTCTGGTGAGCCAGACCCGCAGTGGCCTTTGCTTGCCCCCTGCCCGGTCGATGCGTGTGAGCATTGCCTACCTGAGGCAAGCAGGCCCACCATGAGCCGTCTTTTGGACTTGTTCTGGAAAGTGATTCTGAAGCAGGCTCCAAGCCTCAAGGCCACAGGGTCTGAACCTTTGGTTGTGTCGTTTCATTCGCCGAGCACCCGAAGAATTCACGATGTGGCCGTGATGTTCCACACGTTGCGGGCTCCACATCAAGCGGCTCTTTTGGTTCTCCATAGAGAAGAGTCCCCAGAACTGATGGCAGATGGCATTTTGGCCAGCTTGCACGCTAGCCCTTTGGGCAGGTTCAGGGGACAGCTTGACATTTTAAGCGAAAGCATGCTCTTGGCAAAAATGGCCACAGAGGCGCAAGATTGGGAGATGCGGATTGCCAGGCTTGGGCGGGTTCAGTTGCTAAGCCGCTTTGATGTTATTGGTGAGTCAGCAATTGACGAAGATGAGTACCTGGATTCGAGGCGATCGCGTGAACAAATGGAAGCCAACGCGGCTTTGGCTGCATTCGCTTTGGCACACCCGGCTGAGCAGCCTAAACGCACAAGTGCAAAAAAGCCTGGCCAAGGCCCGGCCCAGAGACCCAAGACACAAGCACAAAACTCTTTGCAACAGGAGAAGAAGCTCCAGGGAATCATTCCATTTCTCTCGGATTCGGAGTCTTCTCACGCGGAAGACTTTGGAGCTGAAAAGGCCAAGGCCAAGGCGGCCACGGCAGCAAGCTTGGCAGTTGACGAAGCCGAGGTTTGGCTTGGAAGCGGCTGCGAAGAGGTTGCAGCCCCAGAGCCAGCAGGCAACGCAGCGGCTTCAAGCCGGGATCCTGCCACCCAAAGAGGAACGGTCCAACATCGCGCCACAACTTGGGGCTGTTTTACAATTGGGCGGCACACATCCAAGTTTTTTGGAGACGGTTGGGTCGCAACCTGCGGCATGCATCACAACTCAGACGACAAGACTGGCGTGGTGTGCAGAAAGGTGCTTCCTGTGCAGAACCTGACTGAGGCGGAATGCAAGCTTCGCTTGAAGCGCTGGCTTGTAGCCGGGTTGGATGAAGCCAGCATGGGGGGCAGTAAAGCCAGGTCTTTGCACCTTGCCAAAGGCGGCCCAAGGTTGAACCACTTTGCCACAGGCCTTCCCGAAGAGGAGCTTGACAAGCGCGTGGGGGCATGAAGGCAAAAAAGTTTTTTTGCTTGTGTGGAGCTGAAGTGCTTGCTGCAGGCTGCATGCTGGTATGATGTTGCTTCCCAAGGACCAGGAGACCGTGGCTCAGAGTCTAGTCTGGTAGGTGCAGCTAAAACAATATTGCAATAATATCTGAAGAGGAAATCTCTGTGGTATTATTATTCCAAACTATTTTTAACAAATATTGTTATTATTAAACTATTATTAAAACAATTGTTCAAACTATTACACAAACTATTGCTAATAAAAATCTCCGCTTATCTTTTTCGTTTCTCTGCTTATCTTTTTTGTTAGCTGCTTTAAGTTTATATAAAACAATAAAAAGATAAGCAGAGATCTCTGCTTATCTGGGCCGAGATTTCTATTGACAATTGTTTTGATAATTGTTTTGATAATTGTTTCAAAAGTTTGGTTAATAGTTTGGTCAATAGTTAATTTGTTCGCACATTCTCTGGAATTGTTCTGGATCGGCCCAAGATTTGTTTTGAGTCGCTGTGATTGCTCGGTTAGTGCCAATGGAAGCAGGGGAAGAACACCCGTCCGAAGAAGCCCAGCAGCTGGAGACGCTGCTGGAGCAGTCTGACGCTGAGTCGGAAACGGAAAAGTCTGTGGCAGCACCAAGCTCCAGCGTGCCCAGCTTCAAGGGACTGCTGGGTCTTGCAGTCAGCTTTGCGCACTCCAAGCCGTGCAGGTGCTGCTTGTGTGGCTGCACTAGCACCGATCCCAGTCCCCTTGTGGGTGAAGGGGATAACCAGGTCGATCATGTTCTGCTAGAGGCCGCTGAGCTGCGCAAGCGGCCTTGGGCCAAGTACAGAAGGATCATCGCTGATGGAGAGGCTCTGCGAGTGCCTGAAGGAAGGTGTTGTGGGCCCTGCATCAACGTGTTTCGCCTACTAGGCCGGGCCTGGAGGGTACCAGAGAGAGAGAGAGAGAGGACGGGAGAGAGTTGTTGTCACTCACACAAAAAAGCAAAAAAAAAAAATCGCGAGCGCTACCGCAGGGGGGTACCCCACTAGAAACGGAAGGAAGAAAGATATCTCTGTGGCACCGGGGGGGGGGTGGGGGGGGGGGGGGGGGGGGGGGGGGGGGGGGGGGGGGGGGGGGGGGGGGGGGGGGGGGGGGGGGGGGGGGGGGGGGGGGGGGGGGGGGGGGAGGGGGGGGGGGGGGG